TTTATATATAGGTATGAATATATATACACATACATATATATATATATATATATGTGTGTGTGTGTGTGTATATGTATATATATAGAGTACGCTGCTGTGCTGCTATACTCTTCTTTGCTGGATTCTATGGACAGGTGTCTGCACTTTGTGATTCAACCGGCGATACTGCTCAGTGAGCATGCTTGACAATCGTTTGACATAGTGTATCGAATTTCATTCGGATTATGCGCGAAATTAAACACATGATTAAATAAACAAATCTCTATGTCAAAAGCCTCTTTGTTTCCTGTCAATAGAATGAGTACATCACCCATTTTAAAATCTTGGGTGCATCCCCCTTTTTAAGATTATGGGTGCGTTTAGGCCCAAGAGTATTTGTCCGACTTTTGTACTATCAGCATATCTCGGGACTACATACTTCGCGCGAGAGTGCACACTGCACAGATGTATAAACCTGAATAAATCGTCAGGCACGCTTTTGCAGAAGGGATTTATAAACATCTTTCCTTTTACGCCACAATGAACAAAGCTTCAGCAGGGACAGATCCAGTGTCTTTCAATATAAATATCTTAACCCTGGCTGGATAGGGTTCAATAGGGTTTTAGGGTTTGTATTTTTGGCGCCTGGGTCTGGGGGACAGTGGTCTGGTACATCGCGAGGGACTCGCACCCTTCTACAGCGTGTGGTTGTATTAAAGTACTTGCCAGAGGTTCGTCCTTTATCGTCAAGTGAAGATAATTACCAATCGGATATACGACAATTCCTGTCGGATCGTGCATGTACAAGGGCAGATAACTACCAATAAGATATACGACAATACCTGGCGTATTTAATAGCTGTGTAAGTACGAGTGCAGTTTACCACCATCAGTATATATAAGACCCGCTTAACCGTTGCTACAGGTGAGGTACTGCGACCCTCCAGGCCCACGCTTTACGTCGGATGTCCAGTGGCAATACCACCAGCCCTAAACAAACGGAACGGCAATTCAACTAGTACCTAACTTTCCTATGGCCTCTGGTGAGCGGCTTACAGCATCTTCCGAACTTCGGGTTCGGCGTACGGCTCTACCATACTGTGGCTGAGATCATCAGCTCAGAAAGAAGCGTTGCATATGGGTCATGACTTGCTACCACACCACTGGGGTCACGGCAGGATCAACTGTCAAAACTCGCAGTAAACCGAGTGATGGGCAGCCGGGGTGAAGTCAAGGCCAGGCCAAGCAATGCGTGTTATACATAAACTGTTATGTTGTAAGTGAGCAAGACGGTCGTAGGATGTGTGTCGAGTGGGGCAACCCTGGTTACAACAACAACGTGTACACACCAACACACTTGTTGGCTCGTGACGAAGGCTGTTACGGTAGGTGTCACTCTCTGCCCCACCAGGGCACTCGCGGTCAGATATAGACTTCAGTACAAACACAGTCTAAAGAATACCCCACAGCCAACCCGAGAATTACACCTTGCCCCAGAACCTATGTTTTTAGGATCGGTCCCCACTTTATAGGGCACAGCCCGTATTGATTCGGCATTTAGGACTGAGCCAGTTTGCGTCCTCGCCCTATTGCGTGTATAGAAGTGCGACCCGCAATCTGACCAGTCTTCAGTAGTACTGTCTCAGTTATAGTCGTATACATATTACGAATGTGCGTCATACGGTGTATTATACCATCCCGGTTTCTGTATAATATCATCCTGGTTTCTGGATGATACCATCCTGGTTTCTGTATAATATCATCCCGATTTCTGTATAATACCATCCCGGTTTCTGTATAATATCATCTCGGTTTCTGGATGATACCATCCCGGTTTCTGTATAATATCATCCCGATTTCTGTATAATACCATCCCGATTTCTGTATAATACCATCCCGGTTTCTATATAATATCATCCCGGTTTCTGTAGAATACCATCCCGGTTTCTGTATAATACCATCCCGGTTTCTGTACAATACCATCCCGGTTTCTGTACTGTACCATCCCTGTTTCTGTATAATACCATCCCGGTTTCTGTATAATACCATCCCGGTTTCTGTATAATAACATCCCGGTTTCTGTACAATGCCATCCCGCCCGGTTTGCTATGCGATAGACAAGCAAACCATATCATTAAACGTCACCAGCAACCATCAAGAATTCCGCCGTGTCCGGGCACTAACGCAATCTGCCAGCGAGCGCAACGGTCTGTCAGAGGCACACAGCAGCACGCGATCTCATCCCACCTACTAACATGCCATCGCATGCCCATCGCATGCCCATCACATCCTACTGACAGTCATCACATGCCCTTCACATGCTACTAACATACCATCACATGCCCATCACATGCTACTAACATGCCATCACATGCCCATCACATGCTACAAACATGTCATCACATGCACTCAACTGCAAACCAGCCACCAGCAGATACAGTACTCTACTCACCCAACAGACGCACATGGCGATGGAAGTGCGTGGGAAGGTACACATAGCTGTGCACAACAGCCGCTTGCTACCTACACACCTCACTACTACGACTCTCCCCATGTGTGGGCTGAGTGTCTATCAGCCGATTGCTACCTACACACCTCACTACTACGACTCTTCCCATGTGCGGGCTGAGTGTCTATCAGCCGATTGCTACCTACACACCTCACTACTACGACTCTGCCCATGTGTGGACTGAGTGTCTATTAGCCGATTGCTACCTACACACCTCACTACTACGACTCTTCACGTGTGTGGGCTGAGTGTCTATCAGCCGATGGCGTTGTAGTGGCGTCGTGTGTGAAATGATCTGCCGCACATGCTGAATGCTCATCGACGTCGTGTCCTGCGGAGGTACTTTTTATACGCACAGACTGTGAGGTCATCGCTAGTGTATGCATCAGATCTGCCAGCGCACTCGTGCTGATACGGCCAGTCTCGTTGATGGTAGCTGCTAATGTCTGAAGCATAGTCTGGCAGGTAGAGGTAAGGGTGGGGTGAGAGTCGGATTGAGTGCATAGGGCATATATATATATATATATATATATATGTACATAAATAGATACATAGATATATAGCTATATAGATACATACATATACATATACATGCATATATA